TASCWMSCACTACAAGAAGAAGCATTGCCTGTCCTCTAAAGAAGAAGCAAACTGCATGGTGATGACTACTAATCAGAGGATACACAAAGTACTACTAGTAATCAAACCCAAAGTCTATTCAAGAAGTGGTGTGAATGGGAAAAATACTAGAGATCTGTAGCAGACACTTGCACTGACATATATTGCTGGGGAAGTCAACATCAACAGAGTAAAGAAAGGCAGCAATTCAACAGCTGGGGTTGAACAAAAATGGCAATATTTACAGCAGTCAAGAACAAGGAATCAAWTTACAAACACCACCATGCCAAAAAAATGCTTAAAAGATACTCAACTATGGGAACAATGCATTACAAAAAATCTTTGAGAGATATGTGGTAGTAGGTGCTACTACTAGTATTTTTGAGGAACTAATGAYGAGAGTGGTAGTCCTAGTAGTAGTACTGATATAATTTTCTTGCATGAGGAACTACTATAGTACTGTAGGAGATCCAGCAGGCCAGATTCAGTTTACGGACATACAATATCATGGTGATAGCAATAAGCTGTAAATTTCCACTGTGATTGCCCCCACACATACTATACTAGTAGGTTCATAAAAATTCCCAAGAACAGTGCTTCTTAAACCACCCAAAGTACTACTAGTAGATGATTTGCAAAATTGCACTTAACAACTGATGCTCAGGTATCACTGGTTCATAAGCAGATGATAGACAAAACCTGACCCAAAATATGACAACAAAGAAGCTACTACTAGTAGTAGTACAAATACATTTTGTATCAAATTYTATATGATACAAGTTTTGATGTTGTCATCCAAGGACAGACAGATTGCCCTCAAGAATATGTTTTGCTTACTAAGWTTCTTTCATTAATATCATCATGGAATTACTAAAAACTACTTTCCAAGCCTCCTTTTTTGGCTCACTTTTTGAGAATTTGGATCCATGAAGAAGATGTTTTGTCAGCAGTCATAGTAGACTAATACTACTACTGTACTAGTAATTCCTCGTCTGTCACTATTTCTCCCCAACAACAAGAACCAAGAACATCGTCTCAATCAAGAATCTAGTACAACAACTWGCAAATCCTCCTCTTGGCCTTGTTGTTATACTAGTAGTAAAGCATACTACTAGAATGCTGGTAATATGTTTCTGACGAGTAATCCAGTTCCTCCCTTTGCAGGTGGAAGGGAGTGACAACTTGCTATGATAAGGTTGATATAATGAGTAGTTCTAAACAGCGTTTTTATTAGTGTTCATAACCTGTTAGAAGTCGATAGGCCCAATTTAGTTTCCTACCGGTACTTCTACCTCTTGGAACCAAAACAAATAGCATGATTATTACTCGTACTAAAAAGAATGGCCTCGATTCCTTGGAAACCGAAACACGTGAGAAAGGGCCTCATCTTGGGTCTCCCACCTCCCACCGGTGTCGTATCGCAGCCTCTCTTTCCTCTGCAGGATGAGAAACCGGGAATGATACGACACCGTACCGTACGTACTATGGTACTAGTTCGGTTTTTGTCTGCTCTCGTTAGATATTCGATCCATTGGCATTCCATTCCATTCCGTTCGATTTCGATTCGGGACGGCAGCATCCCCCACACGCACCTCACCGCACTACACCACACTGCACCACACCACACCACACTGCACCACACCACACCGCACGGAACCAACACGCACCCCACCATGGCGCCAAACGACCCGAAGAAGGCCCGAAAGCCTCCCGTGGCGCGGTCCGCGATCTTTGGGTACATCGAGCAGCAGCAGATCCTCCACAACGGCGGGAGCTTCGGCCGCGTCCTGGACGCCGGCACGGGGCTGCACTCGCTGCGGTGGATGGCGACGCTCCTGCCCGCGGGAAGCGGCAGCGGCAGTAGCAGCAACAGAGAGAACAGCAACGACGACGACGACGACGGGGTGGGCATCTCGTCCTTTGTCGGGATCACGGCCGACGAGGCCATGAAACAGAGGGTCGAGCGAGAAGCCGGGAAGCTGGGCATTCCCGACCTGAAAACAACGGCGTCGGGTGCGGCACCCACCGGATCGACCGCGGACGAKCCCGGAAGCGGAAACCGGTTCGTCATTGGCAACTGGTTCGCGACCGGCGGTCACAAGAACAAAAGCAAGAACAACGGCAACGACACGAACGACGCGGACATCGAATCGGTCCTCCGGCAGACGGAGGGGAGCCCGAGGCCGCGGTTCGAAACGATCCTAGCGGACTACCTSATCGGCGCCATGGACGCCTTTAGCCCCTTTGAGCAGGACGCCATGGTGCCCAAGCTCTCGGGCCTGCTCAAGCCCAACGGCATGCTGTACCTGATCGGGATGGAGCCGGTCCCCGACGCCAGGCACGGCGAGGCCGGGGACGTCTTCTGCCGGGTCACCAGGGCCCGGGACGCGGTCATCAAGCTGGCCCACAACGCCTCGAGCCCGCAGCAGCGGCCCTACCGGGAGTACCCGATGGAATGGGTCCGAAAGAAGGTCGCCCAGGACCCCCTCCTCCGGGAGGTCGGCACCCGGAAGCTCTACCTCCGGTACAAGCACAGCAACGTGGTCAACCAGATCAACGTCGCCCGGGGGATGCTCCCGTACATCGACCACGCCGAGACGGCGGGGGCCATGAAAGAGCTGCTGGACGAGTGAGTCCGCCTGTGGATGCGTTGTGATGCGATGTGATGCGTTGTGTTGTGATGCGTTGTGATGCGATGCGCTGCGCAAAAGAGCCGACTCAACCGCGTCCATGCCTCGTTGCTTTTTGTTCTTTTTGTTTCTTTTCCAATCCAACCCAATCCAACCGAAACGACCCCCGGTGCCGTCCCATCCTGTGCCAGGCTGGAGAAGGAATCCAAGGCCGCCACGAGCAAGGCCAAGAACAACCTGGTGTCCGTGGGCGGCTTCGATTACATCGTCGTCGCGCAGCGCATCGGAGTGTTCGAGGAATTCAAGGCGAGGCTGGTCCGGGACCACCCCGAGGCCCTGCTCTCGTCGCTGCTGGCGCTGCTGTGCGTCTGCGTCGTTCTCGCGGTGCGGCTCTCCCGTGCCAGGGGACACCACCGCGGATCGAAGCGGTCGGGCGCAAAGCACGAAAAACAGCAATGAAACACCGCGGGTTAATTCACGGCACGGCAACCGCTCCCGGAATCCCACCGGCTCACTACGGACGACAACCAACAAACAAACAACCCACGGCTCCGAGAAAAATCTTTYCGGGAGCGATCGATCCCGACGGGAATGCAATGCGTAGCGGCACCGAACCGGATAAGGATCTACCCGTAGAAGAGTAGGTTCYGATCCATGGCAACTAAAGTCCTGCCGTTCTTTTCCCCCGCAACTAGATTTGTTCGCTCTGTCAAATAGTGAACARATGGAACGCAGTGATGGAATGCTCCGTGGCTTTCGCAATAATTAGAACCTGCTGCTCCATACGGATCGCCGCGGTGAACAAAASGAAACATGTTCTGTTCCAATGAAAAGATAGCACTGAACACACTAGCGATGCATGGCTTTCACCATTGYTGTATTAGTTCGTTCCTTTGTGATTGTTTTGTTTCGTCAGTTCCTAGGCGAGTCGCTCGTTCGATCGGGCCTTTCCCGCGCTCCGACGGCCCCCACACAGCGGAGGCGGCGGCTCGATCCGGGCGGGGCCCCGGCCAGCCGGACCGAGGATCGCGTGACCGACAGCATGACCGTGCGGCGGCTCCCGCGGGGGTGCCGCGTGGCCCSGGAGAGCGGTGTCGATGCGAGCGTGGTTTTGTACACCGTGCACCCCGCGGCACCGAGCCCGGCCCCGATCAAGGCACAAAAAGGACCGCGCATTGCTTGGAGYATTCTTTCACTGTCCCCGGTTTGGTTTTGGTTTGTGCTAGCTCGACTTGACTCGACTCGTGGCGTGTCTTGATTTGGTTGATTTGTTTTCTTATGTTAATTGTCTTTCAATTGAGAAGGGCACTGTTTTTCTTCAAGTGTTCGATTGTTTTGTATGCATTTCCCGGTGGCGATCTCCTCTCTGTTTGATAAGTAATAACACTGCAGTATCGACGAGAACATCAATCGTAGGCGATCCTGTAACACTCTGTGTGAGTTCAACAATTCGCTACAGTATTTCTTTTCAGGTCTGGTCGTGTGGTGTCAAAGAAGAAAACAAAAAAAACGGACGGGGTGAAAGTCGAAGTGTGTACCAGTACTTATCCTACGTTCGTACTGTACAGATTGGYACTGTACAGATCCTATCGTACGATACCCAAGAGAAAACAGAAAACGCTTTTGTCACTTTCAAGGAACATGCATGAACAGCCCGAAAACGATTTGGTTCGAAGTTTCATCCATTCATCGTTCCGCGATGCCATCACCGAAGAAAGATACATTYGTGACTGRATTTTGTGKYAGTCCCGGGTAGAAAATGCAMAATCTTCCCTCCCTTTGTAGTCGCGTTTTCTCCGAGAGCAGTGGTTCAATGGAAGTTCTTCGTGACTGTTCGTATGCGCGCAGATTTTTGTATTTTCAGTTTTTAGTTTTTACCTTCGTTGCACCCATCAAAACAAAAAAATTCCTCGTCGAAGAACTACRCTAGCATCTGCACACAAATTCCTCGACCGCCGAACAAAGGACCCCACCATGTTGTCTCGAAATATAGTTTCTCGTCCCACGGCTGTCTTACGAAGAGCAATTCGTGCCAAGAGCACCCAGGTTCAGGTCGAAGAATCATCGGCATCCCCCATCGCCTCGGATGGCCGCCATGTCCACAAAGAAAGCTTCGACGATATCAAGTGAGTTTTTCAGCAGCCAAGGATCCAGGTGCTACGGGAAGAAGAAATCCTACGGGCGCAGCTCGTTTATTCTACGGCGCGAAAAAGGGTTCAAATCTTCTGTTTCTGGTTTCGGACCACAACCAGAGAACCCATCGCCGGTGTTTCTTTTTTCGAGTCGCCGTCCGGATTGCATGGTTGCGATGGATACCAATGGAGCRCAACCACGCACCCCTTGTTGTCRACAAGAGTACACTGCACACGGGATCGGAACGAGTACCRTTTTCGAAATCACGGCCGATGGGGCATAGCACTTCCCTWTCCTTKGTCGTCGCCTAAATTCTTCGACCGTTGCAGTTGCGAAGACGCCGTTCTCCATCAGCTGCCGAAACTAGATAGAGCKGCGTCGTTTTTGTGCTTTTCGTGTCTGACATTGTTGCCGTTGTTTTGTTTTCTCGAATGGAATTGCTACTATTGCTCGCGCTTGTTTTGCTTGGTCACCGTTCCTTAATTGAATATTTTGTCGAATTCGGAACGCTTTGCGACAACCCTCCAGGGTCCAGCGCCGTGATGGATCGATGCAGAACCTCGAAAAACTCCGGGGRTTTGTTAATTACCAGAGAAATCCGGAGCCCTATCGYCCCCCACTGGAGCGCCTGAAGGACTGGGAAGAAATCAACCCCGTTCCGGATCGAGACGTTGACGTAGCCCACACCGCKCTGGAACGAAAAGTACAGGCGGCCCGCTGTATGGATTGCGGCACGCCCTTTTGCCAGACCTACACGGGATGCCCGGTCAACAACCTGATCCCGGAATGGAACAACCTGGTCTTTGAAGACGCCTGGGACGAAGCCATCGAACGCCTGCACAGCACCAATAACTTTCCCGAATTTACGGGAAGAGTATGCCCCGCTCCCTGCGAGGGATCCTGCGTGGCCGGGCTCGTCGACAACCCGGTCACCATCAAAAACATTGAATACTCGATCATAGATCGTGCCTTTCGCGACGGAAAAATCACCCCCCGCATCCCCGAGGAGCGAAGCGGTATGTCCGTAGCGGTCGTGGGATCGGGACCGGCCGGACTGGCCTGTGCCGACCAACTGAACCAGATGGGCCACAAGGTCACCGTGTTCGAACGCGCCGATCGCATCGGGGGCTTGCTCATGTACGGGATTCCCAACATGAAACTGGAAAAGGAGACCGTGGACCGCCGCGTCAATCTTCTCCGAGAGGAAGGAATCGAGTTTGTCACCAATGCCGACGTCGGCAAAAACATCGACGTCAACGARCTCAATTCGCAATTCGACGCGCTCTGCCTGACCCTGGGCGCCACAAAGCCCCGMGATCTGCCGGTTCCGGGACGCGAATTGAAGGGCGTGCATTTTGCTATGGTAGGTCTACTGGCACTGGTCGGATGATTTTTGTTTTTGTTTCTTYSGATTCGATGCGAGCCGATGGACTCATGTTCAYGTTTTGTTTTTTCGTCCCGTCTCCCTCCAAACACACCGGTTTTCAGGAATTTCTCACCGCCAACCAAAAGAAGCTGCTAATGACAAAAGAAGGAAAGCTGGAGTCCCAGTGGGAAAAAGACAACTGGATCACCGCCGAAGGAAAGGACGTGATTGTCATTGGCGGGGGAGACACCGGCACGGATTGCATCGGAACCTCCATGCGCCACCGSTGCAACTCGGTGACCAACTTTGAGCTCATGCCGCAGCCACCGATGGAGCGAGCGAGCGACAATCCCTGGCCGCAGTGGCCCCGTGTCTTTGGCATCGACTACGGCCACGCCGAGGTCCGGGCGGCGACGGGAAAAGACCCCCGCGTGTACTCGGTCATGACGAAGGAACTCGTCGGGGACGACGAGGGCAACGTGAAGGCCCTGGTGACGCAGGACGTCGAAATGACCAAGAACGGGCCCAAGGCCATCGAGGGCAGCGAGCGCGAGTGGCCCGCGGACCTGGTGGTCCTCTCGATGGGCTTCCTGTCCCCCGAGGCGTACGTGACGGAGGAGCTCGGCCTGAACGTCGACCAGCGGAACAACATCCAGGCGGTGTACGGCGACTACCGCACGAGCGTGGAGGGGGTCTTTGCCGGGGGCGACTGCCGACGCGGCCAGAGCCTGGTGGTGTGGGCCATCAACGAGGGSCGCGGAACGGCCGATGCCTGCCACCAATACCTGAACCAGAAGCGGTTCGACGACGTGGATTCCTCGCAGCTGACCGGTGCCTTTGCCAACCTGAGCAGCCTCTCTCCCACCATGTAGGCGGACGCGTTTCCCGGCTCCACCCACCGGGACGGACCACATTTTTCCATGGCAACAATACAATACACTACTACTACTAMTACTACGATTATGATTATTAGTATGATTATGATTACGATCCGAACTCGATGCATTTTACTACGCTTCTTGTGCTAGCAACCGCGGTGCCGCAGAACCCGGGCGTCGTGTCAAAGGGTGCTCTCCCCCGGSTCGGGCTTGGCGTCCCGAAAGATGATGCTCAGCCGCTGGTCCCTCCGGACGAGGACCTCCTTGTTGGTCCCCTCCCCAAAGGCCGCCCCGTCCGGCAGGAGCTCGTGGGAATAGTCGTACCGGCCGGCCCCCGTCAGAACGTAGAGGCTCCGCGGGGGGAGCAGGAGGTCCACCCTGCCCCCGTCTCTCGCGGCGTCCGATTTCGCGTCCGATTTCGCGTCCGGATCCGGGACAAGCCGCATCACCGCCGTGGAGCGCAGAGAGAGGCCGGCCACGAGGTGTCCCGAGAAGCGGACCGAATCGACGTGGGCCCGGAGCTCCCCCTCCCTCTTGAGGTCGATGGCGTGGCAGGGAAGCCAGCGGAYCGGCTCGCTCTGGTCGTACAGGGCGGAGAGGTGGTCCTCCTCCAGGAGGGACCGGATGCGGGCAAAGACCCCCGAGAGCTCGGCGCTGGTGTTTTTGGTGTCGTTCCCGGCCGCTCCTTCCAGCCCGTGCAGCTCGGTCTCCTTGTAGAGGGAAATGACAGAGTCCCAGTGCCCGGCCTCGTACCGCTTCCGCCTCATGGAGGGCCCCCCGAGGACGTGCCCCTCGATCGCGGCGGCCTCCTCCTTTGTGACGACGCCCGGGTAGACCACCGCCGGGGGAAACTGGTGGTGGTGGTATCCCGAGGGTGGCTCCCGGTCGTCGACCAGGGAGGGATCGGGCAAGGGCCGGGTGTGCGATTGCGATTGCGCGTGCGATTGCGCGTGGGCGGAAGCGCGGCGCCGCACACGGAGCGGTGCGGGGCCGGCGGGGGCAACCGCGACACCGAAAGCAACCGAGGCGTTGTTCTTTCTTCCGGCAGCGGTGCGCAAGAGGCCCGCACCGCAAAGGGCCCTCCGCCCGGCATTGCCCGCGGCGGCAACAGCGAGGGATGCCATGGGATCGCTGCGCCTTTGTTGCCGTCGCTCGTCTGGTTTGGTTTGGTGTGGTGTGGTTTGGATTGGATGGGTGAATGGATTCGATGCCAAAAAGGATCCGTTTGTTTTGTTTTGTGTTGTTTCGCCAGCACCCACCTTGCCGACGGGAAGGGAAGCGCCTGGATGGAGTTTTGCTCGTGACTGAAAAACTCCCGATTCGATTGATTCGATTCGAYTCCTCCGTCGTGCAGCCTAGCCTTTTTCAACGAAGCTTTGGTTCGCGCTCTACTGCAACGTACGGTACGGTACGGCATGGTACAGTACGAACGGTACTACGCGACGCGACGYAAGCTACGGCACGGGACAGATTGTGTGTGGAGTTGGTTTTGTGTCCCCATGCATTTTCGGATGGAGGGGTTTGGTTTRTGTTTTTGTGTTTTGGAGTTTGGATGCCGGGAGCGTTTTTTGTGGGTGTCTGTCTGTACCGAGTTAGCAGGATTTCGCACAGTTTTTGCGTTCGGTTTCCGAACCTTTTTCTCGATCCAAGGTTGTGGGTCGCTCTTCCGAATTGGTGTGCCAACGTACCACGCAAACHCCAGCAGAAACACACCGGGAGGAAATCGCGAGATCGCGAGAGAGCCGCGGGGCACACCGAAGAACAACGCCATGAAGGACTCGCCGCCGTCGCCGTCGTCGTCGCCGTCGCTGCCGGTCCCGCACCACGGCAACGACGGCAACGGCATCGACAACGACAACAGCGACGACCGGTGGAAGAGGAGAGGTGGCCTGCGGCCCCGGTTCACCCGGCGGCGCCAATCGACGACCATCGTCCGGCGGTCCACGATCGTCGAGGCACCCGGGAAGGACGCCTGGGGCCTCGACGAAACCACGGAGCAGCACGATGGCGATCCGCAGCAGCAGCAGCAACAACAGCAATATTTCCAGCAGCAGCAACAGCAGCAGGAGGAGTGCGAGGAAGCCGTCGGCCCCGTTTCCTTCTTGTGCGGGATCACCGCCGGTGTCCTCCAGGCGGGACTCTTCAATCCCTTCGACCGGGCCCTCTACCTTTCCATCACCAACGAGGTTCCCTTTCTGAGGAGGGAGAACTTCCGGAACCCCTACACCGGCTTTTTGCAATCGGTCGGCCACCGGGCCCTGTCGGGGGGCCTCTACTATCCGCTGGAAAACTTTTTCTGCGGGGCGCTCCTGGGTGCTCACTCGCACCCGCAGCCCCACGAGGAGCACGCCAGCATCCACCACCACCACCACCACGCTGCTCCGCACTCGCACTCGCACTCGCATTCACAGCCGCACCCACCGGAGGGCCACCTGCCGCTCCACCCCGCCTTTGCCAATTTCCTGGCGGGAACCCTGGCCGGGACCACCAACGCGATGATCGTCAATCCCATYACCGCCATCAAGTACAAGACCTGGGGCCGGGAGGTCAACCGGGGAATGGCCACMGARGTGGTGGAGATGTTCCGCAAGGGGGGCTTCCGCCCCTTCCGGAACGGCCTGGTCCCCACCGTCCTCCGGGACCTGTGCTTCGGCGGGACCTACACCTTTCTGCGCCTCGAGATCCAGTACGTCTTCCAGCTCCGGCCCGACCAGCAGTGGGGGGCCAACACGGTGGCGGCCTCGCTCGCGACCATCGTCAGCGCCCCCTTCAACCTGGTGCGGAACGTCCAGTACGCGACACGGTCGAGGGAGCGGGCCGACGGGGTCGCCAAGATCCTCGGCGACTTTGCCCGGGAGGTCGCGAGCCAAGCGACGACCTGGCGGAGCCTCCGGTACTTCCAGACCCGGCTGAGGATCGGCTGGGGGACGGTCCGGGTGGGGGTCGGCATGGCCTTTGGCCAYTCGGTCTACGACCGCCTCATGGGCGCCTACCACGAGCTCGACCGGGGGAAGCGATCGGGAACCTGAGGCGAGTCGTAACGAGACGAGGCGGGGCGGAGCCGGCCGGGGCAGGCCGGCCGGCCGCGCAAGGAATTCCGGTCGGTTCCAAACGCCGTTGCGGTTCCTTCCAAGAAAACACGACACCACAAAAGAAACGAGGATCGCGGCAAGCGGGTTTGTATCCATCCCACCGATGGCCCCATCGGCTTTTGCGAGTCGCACCGAATGGACTGCACCGCCGTTTGCCTTCCGGGAGAAGCTTGGTGCCACGCGACTCGACTGCTCCGATTGCTTTCGCARACCAAACACGGCGATGCCCCTTCTCGCCTTTGGTGCGATCCGGGTTCCGTCTTCACTTTCTCGGTCGGTGGATGTTCCAACCCTTTCCGGGTTGTGAAGCGGAGGCAAAACTGTGCAACGCCACTTGGCAGTGCCGTGTGCTCGTGGACTTCTGGCGGGGCATTGCAATCTTCCCTTGCGTCTTTCGTGTGGGCGCAACATTGAAATTTCCAGCAAAGCTAGAGGAGAACGATGGATGCGAGCAACGAATCCATTATTCCATTACAGGTACTTATTATGCCATTTACCGTCGTTCTGTCTAACGCTTGCGTACTCTAGCACAGATATCTTGATTCCGAAAAGCGGTTGTCTCCCGCACAAATTCCACGCTGTTCAAGCAAATAATGTGCCGTAATGAATATAGAAAACCCGCATTGCAGCAAAGGCAACAAATATTMAGATTGATGGAAATAAATCTTATTTAATCTAAAATACACGTGTAAAAAGTTTACACCAACAGCACTGCGTTGACACAGCCATCGAGTTCGGGGTTGTTGGTTACCTGCGCCATCTTTCCCCAGGCTACCTTTCCGGACGTTGTCACCAGCCCTAGTTCGCTCACGTTGACCTCGATGATGGTTCCCTTTGTCATGACACCCAGGTTCGTATAGATTTGTGAGGATGGATTCTTTTTCACCCCCAAAATATCCARTTGGAAGGTAGTCTTCAATTCCGGATGCGTCACGTTGGCCCGTTTCATTCTCAGACCGGACGGCCGAATGAATCGTTCGTATTTCGGATTTTTTCTCGTAAAGGCCTCCCCGGTGAAGGTGACCTTCGTGACGACGCGCTTCCACGCCTTCTTTCCTCGCTTCCCGGATTTCATGACCTTGAACATTTCGTCGTCGGCCACCGGCTTGACCTTGGGAATGGGGACCTCCCACTTTCCGGCCTTTTCTTTTCGTTTTTGCTTCACCGTGTTCGACAGGACCTTCGCWCGGCTCACTCCCTCCCGATCCAACAGATAGGCGGGGACGGCTCCCTCTGCCACGGCCTCGTCGTTCTTGTGGGTGTTCGTTCGCTCGTTGTGCATGGCGATCGTCTTTCGCATCGTGGCCTTTTCCTTGAACCGGCGTTTCTGGTAGAGCTTGGCCCGGATACCGTGCACCTTCTGAGAGAACTCGGATCGCTTGTGTACCAACCGGGCCTCCTTTTTCCGCATCCGCTCCTCGTGGTCCATGCGGACCCCGTGGAGCTTCTTGTGGCGTTCCATGTGCTCGTGCTGAGGCATTTTGGCGTGTGGTTACGATCTATCTATTCTATAAGCAATGAAATATCCACTTTGGATTTGGTGGTTCTTGTTGTCGTTGTCGTTGTCGTTGACGTTAACGGTGCTCGTGTTCGTTGTTTCTTAGATGTCGAATTAGCTAAAACACTCTGCGACAACGGTGCATTATGCGGAGCAAAGGAAATTACAGCGATGCTGTCGGCGGCGAAGAAAGAGAAGACGGAAGATGTGACAAAAAATTGCTGTCGTCGAAAGTATTTCGTACAGTAGTTTTTAATCGTTTTATTCCTGTTGTTACGTGGTGGGTCATACGACAATTTAACTTTTGCGATACACRGGGGAATAAAAGGAAAAAATACCAGCAAGAGAACACCAGCGATCGCTGAGAAAAACAACCGATGGTGTGGAGGAAAACAATCCAAACCGGTCTAGGACAGACGTATCTAGATCAGTCGATTGAGTCGACAACTAGAGAGAGGTTGGTATCAGTTTTTGACTCACTGGATTAATGAGAATCAGGTCCGAGRAAAACGAGCAGGACGACCAAATTCTTGACACTAAACAGAGAAGAGACCATGATGTATTTTCGATGTTTGATTTTGTACTTCATACACCGAGCCCTCTTGCAAATTAGGTAGTAGTGCAACGAAAGCAACAGATGAGAAAGATTAATAAAAAGAAGATTGCATGACGAAAATACAAAAACTGACAGTCGATAAACGAATCAAATGYTAAGATACTCGGAGACCTGAACAGTACTGTAGAGTTGGATTCACGGAAAAGTGGAACGATTTATTTTGCGGAGAAAGGAAGGATCGACGAACCATAATGATCGATTTGTAAAACGGAAACAAGATGGAAACGATCCAGACACCRATTTTCTTCTTTCGTGAATGTGATATCACTCAAATTCTGACAAAGAGCGAAATAAATTGCTCTGAAAGAGACTTTCGATGTGCTTMGTGTTTTTTTCGATAGAGTCGAGTCTTGGTTTCAGGRGAACCTATCGTACAAGAACTTTTATTGTGTATGATTTTAATTGTTACGCTAGATTACTTTTAGCAAAATGCTACYTCTCGAGGAATGATTTTGCCTTTGGATGCGCAACTCACGTAAAATRTACACTAAGTTTATTTACATAAATATCCAAAGGTCACTGGTTAAGTTTGAAAACTCGATAGTTTTCTATTGCTGGCTATGTCATAGTGAATCGCAAGGTAGCCATCTKYCGTGCACTATGTTTGGGGTTCCTCTGGTGTAACCTCAACGGCTTCTGCCGCTGCTTCTGGGCTGGCTGCAGGAGCAGCTTCGGCGGCAGTTTCGTTGCTTCCATCGTTGCCGTCGCTAGCAGCTGGCGCAGGATCACTCTCACCGGCGCCCGCCTCGGGATCGGGGCTGGCTGCAACTTCAACGTTTGAAGCTTCGGTGTTTTCGTTGCTTTGATCCAGTGTTACCTCAACGCTTTCTGCGGCTGGTTCGCCTCCGCCTGCCTCTGGTTCGGGGCTGGGAGAAGCATCAGCTGTTGTGGTTTCGGTGTTATCGCCGGTACCGCTCTCAGGATC